CGGGGCTCAATCCCACTGGGATCATGACCTGAGCCGAAGGCAGACACTTAACGACTGAGCCACCCAGGCACCCCTGTAATTAGATATTTTAAATATTTGGGTATATCCTGAGGCAGTTTGAAAAGGGATATATTTAAAAGAATAGTATGTGATTTTGGCAGCCAAATGTGTTCAGTTCATGGCACTCTTCATTTATGTGAAGAAACTTCAGTGAGAATTCACGAAAATCTTAGGTTCAGATTTTTAGCTTATCTGATATGCTTAGTCATGTGTCATGAAGAATTTTTCTATACACAAACTGTTATGGTATAAGCTTTAATTAATATTTATAAAACATTTATTTTATAATCTTTTTACTCATAGTGTTGGTGTTACATTTTTCATATCTGATGGATTTGAGAAATGGATTTTAATATTTGAGAATTTTCATTTCACAGCTCAGTGGTTAAGAGCTCATGATTCCAGGAGGATGAGAATGAGGCACATGGCCCCACGGTGATGCAAAGAGGTTAGAAAGTCACTTCCTAGAAATAGCTCTATATTATGGAAATGGGAACATGAATTTTGGTGGACATTTAGCCATGTCGTCCACACATGAGTTCTTTACCATTTACTGTAGTCCTATGAAGGACTTCCAATTTCCCCGTTTTACAGGTGAGACTATTGAGGCTTAGACCTGTCCAAAAATAATAAGGTTCCGATTTGAGATTTAAATTCAAGTCATTCTGACTCAATAGCCTCTATTATTTTCTTTTTTTCTCCTGCTGTGCCTTTTATTCCCATGCACTATTCATTCCATAACTGGGACTCTGTATCTTCCACTCCTCTTTACCCATTTTGCCCAACTGCTGACCCATCCCCCTCTGACAACCATCAGCTTATTCTGTATTTATAGGTCTGATTCTGCTTTTTGTTTGTTTATTCATTTGTTTTTGTCTTAGATTCCACTTGTGAGTAAAATCATATAGTATTTGTGTTTCTCAGTCTGACTTATTTCACTTACCATAATATCCTCTAGGTGCATCCATCCATAATACCCTCTAGGTCCATCTCAAATGACACAACCTCATCTTTTTATGGCTGTGCCATATTCCATTATATATATATATATATACCACATCTTCCTTATCCATTTGTCTATTGATGGACACTTAGATTGCTTCAATATATTGGTTGTTGTAAATAACATTGCAATAAACACAGAAGTGCACATATCTTTTTGAATTAGTGTGTTCATTTTCTTTGGGTAAATACCCAGTAGTGGAATGATTGGGGTATATGGTATTTCTATTTTTAATTTTTCAAAGCACTTCCATACTGTTTTCCACTGTAGCTGCACCAATTTACATTCTTACCAACAGTGCACAAGGGTTCCATTTTTTCCATATCCTCACCAACACTTGTTGTTTCTTGTCTTTTTGGTTTTAGCCGTGCTGATAGGTATAAAATGATATTTTATTTTAGTTTTGAGTTGCATTTGCCTGATGATGAGTGATGCTGAGGATATTTTCATGTGTCCATTGGCTATCTTTATGCCTTTTTTTGAAAAACTTTATTCAAGTCCTCTGCCCATTTTTTAATTGAATTATTTGGGGTTTGTTTGGTGTTGACTTGTACATGTTCTTTATATATTTTGGATACGTGTGTGTGTGTGTGTGTGTGTGTGTGTTGGTGGTTTCCTTTGCTGTGCAAAAGCCTTTTACTTGTTATCCAAATAGTTTATTTTTGCTTTTGTTTTTCTTGCGTGAAGAGACATATCGAGAAAAATGATCCTATGGCCAAAGTCAGAGAAATTACTGCCTGTGTTTTTTTATGGTTTTTAGGATTTTTATGATTTCAGATCTCACATTTAGGTCTTTAATCCATTTTTAGTTTATTTTTATTTATGATATTAAAGAGAGATACAGTTTCATTCTTTTGCGTGTAGCTGTCAGTTCTCCCAGCACGATTTATTGAGGAGACTGTCTTTTCCCATTGTATATTCTTGCCTCCTTTGTCATAGATTAACTGACCATATAATCAGTGGTTTATTTCTGGGCTCTGTATTCTAGTCCACTGATCTATATATCTATTTTTATGCCAGTACCATACTATTTTGATTACTACCGCTTTGTAGTATATTTTCAAATCTGGAATTTTCACATCTTCAAGCTTTGTTTTTCTTTTTCAAGATTGCCTTGGCTATTTGGGGTCTTCTGTGGTTCCATACAAATTTTAGTATTATTTGTTTTAGTTTTGTAAAAAATGCTGCTGGTATTTTGATAGGGAATGCATTGAATCTGTGGATTTCTTTGAGTAGTATGGACATTTAAACAATATTGATTCTTCCAATCCACAAGCATGGACTATTTTTCCATTTGTTTGGGTCATCTTCAGTTTCTTTCATCAGTGTTTTATAGTTTTCAGAGTAGAGGTCTTTCACCTCTTTGGTTTAGTTTATTCTTTCTGGTGCATTTGTAAATGGTGTTGTTTTAAAATTTCTCTTTCTGAGGGACTCCTGGGTGGCTCAGTTGGTTAAGCGTCTGCCTTCGGCTCAGGTCATGATCCCGGGGTCCTGGGATCGAGCCCCACATCAGGCTCCCTGCTCAGCGAGAAGCCTGCTTCTCCCTCTGCCTCTCCCCCTGTTTGTGTTCCCTCTCTCGCTGTGTCTCTCTGTCAAATAAATAAATAAAATCTTCAAAAAAAATTTCTTTCTGCTATTTTGTTATTAGTGTATAGAAATACTACCAATTTCTGGGTACTATTTTTGTATCTGCACCTTAGCTTCTTATTCTTAAGCACTGGACCTATGTTTCTTAAGTGGAGGTGATTTTGTCCCCCAAGTGACAGGGGCACATTTGGCAATGTCTGTAGACATTTTTTGGTGTGTGTGGGGGGGTACTACTAGCATCTAGTGGATAGAGGCCAGGGATGCTGCTAAACATTCCCTTTCCCCTTGCTCCCTTTCCCTGGTCACCAACACACAAAATTTATCAAGCTCAAAATGTCATTAATGCCAAGGATGAGAAATTCTGCAGTAGACCGTACACTACCCTTGTTGTTAGAAGGTAAAGTAGAGGCACGACATGATTAAAAAAATTAGGAGCAGGTACTGAGTAATAAGCTAAGTGTTAATTACAAAAGGATATAAAGGATTGGTGAATAGCAGGTACTGGTGGTTGTTGAAGGCAGAAGGTTAATGGTTCCATTATTTTTCTGTCAGCCACTGGCATTTCTGGAACTTGACAGTGTTTTTTTTTTAAAGTAAATGATCTGACATAAACAGACATTTCTCCAAAGAAGGCATACAGACGGCCAACGGACATATGAAAAGATGCTCATCATCAGGGAAATGCAAGTCAAAACTACAGTGATATATCACCTCACACCTGTCAGAATGGCTAAAATAAAAAACACAAGAAACAACAAGTGTTGGTGAGGATGTAGAGAAATGGGAACCCTTTTGCACTGTTGGTGGGAATGCAAACTGGTGCAGCCACTGTGGGAAACAGTATGGAGGTTCCTCAGAAGGTTAAAAACAGAATTGCCCTACTATCCAGTAATCATACTACTGGGTATCTACCCCCAAAATACGAAAACACTGATTCAAAGGGATAACATGCACCCCTATGTTTATAGCAGCATTATTTACAATAGCCAAATTATGGAAGCAGCCCAAATATCCAGTGATAGATGGGTAAATGGTGTTGTGGTGGGTAAAGATGATGTGGTGTGTGTGTGTGTGTGTGTGTGTGTGTGTGTGTGGTATATATGGTATATATAATGGAATATTACTCAGCCATAAAAAAGAATGGATTCTTGCCATTTGCGCCAATATGAATGAAGCTAGAAAGTACAATGCTGAGTGAAATAAGTCACTCAGAGAAAGACAAATACCATATCATCTCACTCATATGTGGAATTTAAGAAACAAAAAAATGAACAAAGGAAAAAAAAGAAAAAAGAGAAAGAGAGAAACCAAGAAACAGACTCTTAACTATAGAGAACAAGCTGATGATTACCAGAGGGGGGTGGGTGAATTAGGTGATGGGGATTAAGGAGGACACTTGTCTTGATGAGCACTGGGTGATGTATGGAAGTGCTGAATCACTATATTGTACATCTGAAACTAATTTAACACTGTATGTTAACTATATTGGAATTAAAACAAAAACTTAATAAAAAAGTAAGTGATATGTACTTTCCCGGCTGAAAATATCTTCTAACTCATTTTATTTCTGGACTCAGGAAGACAAGACTCGTCCTTTTATCATATCCAGCCCTACAAATGGGGCCGAATCTATTAAAGAAGGCTGGCTCTCTGTCAACCCATATGACAATAATTTTGGTGATGTACATTTTTATGACTATATCAGTGATTGCTGGAATTGGAAAGTTTTCCCAAAAGCTCGATTTGTATCTGAATATGGATATCAGTCCTGGCCTTCCTTCAGTACATTAGAAAAGGTAAGCCACTTTTGATTTCCCAGTGATTCAGAATGGTAGGCGATGGGCGTATGTCACTTTCTCAACAGTGGTTCAGAAAGTCAAATGAAATGTGCTTATTATTTAAATGAAAGTTTAGGAAGATCATAGAAGAGAACTTTTTTCTTTAAAGTTTGGGGAGCTAAATTTCTTGTGGTCATCATTTTGAGGATTATAACTTTTTGATATTGCTTTTAATTATGTTCCTTCCCTAACATTTAAAAATTAAATGGGAACCAGTGTTGCTTAAGCCTGACTTCTTATCATGCATGAAAGTAATTCTCACTTGCTAGTTTCTGTATATCCAACAACTGTTTTATCATTTACAGATATTCAGAACTGGATGGTTTGCTACAGTAAGAGAAATGAATGTGATAAGTAAAGTTTTATCTAATATTATCAGTCATATTATTTCTTTTGCCTCCTCTCCTTCCTCTTCTATTTCCTCCCCCTTCCTTCTCCTTTTTTCTTTCATGTTGGTGTATTTGATTTTCACAATGGCATTTCACTTTCCTTGTTCCTACAGATTCAGGTTCATAGATGGATTCAATTTCAGAATTGTATGTGTTCTTTTTTGTTTATTTATTTATTTAATTTTATTTTTTAAATTTTTAAAATTTTGTTATGCTATGTTAGTCACCATACAATACATCATTGGTTTTTGATGTGGTGATCCACGATCCATTGTTTTCGCATAACACCCAGTGCTACATGCAGTACGTGCCCTCCTTAATACCCACCACCGGGCTAACCCATCCCTCCTCCCCTCTCCCCTCCCAAACCCTCTTTGTTTCTCAGAGTCCATAGTCTCTCTCCCTCCGATTTCCCCCCTTTTCATTTTTCCTTTCCTTCTCCTAATGTCTTCCATGCTATTCCTTATGTTCTACAAATAAGTGAAACCATATGATAATTGACTTTCTCTGCTTGACTTCTTTCACTTAGCATAATCTCCTCCAGTCCCATCCATGTTGATGTAAAAGTTGGTTATTCATCCTTTCTGATGGCTGAGTAATATTCCATTGTATATATGGACCACATCTTCTTTATTCATTCATCTGTTGAAGGGCATCTCGGCT